AAATTCAAGAAATTGTGGCTTTGTTAAAAAAGAACAAAATTTAAAAAACCTCGTACCAATCTTATTTGGTTTTCTGGTCGAATTGACTAAATTTTATGTTGTAATTCTCTCATCCTTCTGAACAAATATCTCCGTACGAGACTAACCTTCTCTTATGACTAGTTTTTATGCTACACGTTCTGAAAGGTTTGTTCTCAAAAAATTGGTTTTCCCTTATTAATGTTATTATATATCATTAATATTATGTATCATTAATATTCTTGAAGCTTCCATAGGTGCTTTCTATATAAAGATAATGCGTTTTGTGGGTTTCCTCCGGACCCAGATCCGTTCTTAGAACGCCAACGTTTCGTAAACCTTGCATATTCATTATTGAAAAAGTATGTAATAAGTGTATACATACTCGTATATATACGCACGCACGCACGCATGTGTACATATACAATAACTTTGTCCACCTTGAATATTTCCGCTATTTTTAGAAATATGAAAATACTATAATTACACAAGTTAATAATTTATACGGTATCAAGACCATAATATATGTTGATAAGAATTTTTTTAGATGGAGGCGCTTTGGAGGCGATTTCAAAGTCATCTCCATTTTTTAAATGGCATACTGTAATTTTTTAACTTTACAATTAGTGTAATAAAGAAATAAAGAAATAAATAAAGAAATAAAATAGAAGTAATATCTGTTTACATCAATGCAATACTGCAATTGTTGAATTCTTGAAAGACTTCTTATAATAACATTTCCGGATTGATTGTCGCACAAACTGCGATAATTCGTTATTTCATATTTTTCGGTTGACACTTCCTGGTATACAATATCCTTATATTCGCTTATAATAAAAAAAATGTGAATATTTATATTTCTTACTATGAATTCTATAAGTCTGAAGAGATTTGTGAAACTTCGAGTAAAAACAAATTAGTCTTATTATACAAAGAAACAGTCGGAATTCATTTTAATGAGTTTTGGATATGTTGTAGAGCATTAAAAAATTTTAAACCCATATTTTTTTGTGCTTATCTCAAAGTTTAAGGAGTGAAACCCTTTTGAAAATAATGGATTATATCGTTTTTTAAATATCTTTTAAATCAAAAATATTTTATATAAAAATTGTATAGCTTCATATGCTCTATATAATGACATAAAAGACATGTTGCAAAAATCAATTTTATAACAAATTGTTACAAATAAATTATTAAAAATTGATTGTAGAGAAATTCTGATTACACGAATCGATTATACGGGAAAAATTATTAAAAAAGAATGCTTAAATTAGTTTATGCAAAAAAAAATAAATAATAATAAATTCGAATAAGGCTAAATGAGTCAAGCACGTTAAACGGTACAAAAGAATATATTATTACAATCACTAAAATACTTCCAAAAGTTTTGGTTCACAAAGGAATTATTTTTAGTGAATACATAACTTACATTTATTCTTATCTTCTTTCGTATATTACACATCATTAGATAATATAAAAAACATGTCGCAATTAATTCACCTCAGCACGTATTTGGAATGATAATTTCCATCAAATCAAGTGCACATTCGTAATAATATAGATCACGAATGTGTCGAGTCTATTGACATATAAGCGTTCTTCCTGTTCTCTTCGCCCATCGTTTCTCGAGATTGAAACCAGTATTACCATAATGGCACAAAAATATGCACTTGATTTGATGGAAATTACCACTATGAATGCGTGCTGAGATGATTGCGACATGTTTTTCATGTTATCTAATGACGTGTAATATACGAAAAAAAAAATATAAGAACACAAATAATATAAGAACAGATATTAATGTAAGTTATGTATCCACTGAAGATGATTCCGTTGTGAACCGAAACGTTTGGAAGAATTTTAGTGATTGTAACAAAAAAAAAAATTTTTTTGCATCGTTTAACGTGCAAATGCTTTAACGCTTGGCTCATTTAGCTCTTATTAGAATTTATTATTTTCAATTTGAACTTTTAAAGTTTGCTAATTTTAAAAATAAATAAATTACGAAAAATCGTTTCTATGCTATGCCTAGATTATTAAGAGTAGCTAAAAGATGACAATTGTAAATAGGACTGAAAAAATATTTTTGATGTTAAAAGTACATTGTAAAAATCAATTTTGCAATTAATTGTTATGAACAAATAATTTATACACAAAGAACAATTTAAGAAAGAGTTATACATGTTTGTTTAATAATTTTTCCAGTACAATCGATTAATATAGTCTATTTTTCTACAATCACTTTTTAATAATTTGTTTATAACAATGATCTCATATATTATCTAAAGTGCACGATGTTATCGCCTTTTTTTTTGATAAATTTAATCGTGAAATTATAACATTTATAATTATATTTATTACATTTCTGCATGTTGTATTTACATACTTTAATAAATATAAAATATTTATATTTAATAAAATATAAAAATAGTAAACATAAAAAATATAAATAATAAATATAAATATAGTAAGTATGAATTTTGATAGTAATTATGTGAAAAAATACAATACAGAATAATATGTAAAAAAAATAATATACAGAGTGTTTCCTCTAACTTGATCATTTAAAATATCTCCGTCGTTTTTGATGAGAAAATACTAAAGGGGAAAAGTTGTTCGATTGGAAGGGAATATTTCACATATTATGATGAGTAAAAAATTTCTCTCATAGTTTTTGAGATTTCAAGGTCATCGCGATTTTTTAAAATATAGTAGCATATTTTTATTAATGTATTCATAAAAATACAAATTCATATATTTTATTCAAGTTTCTGAGGTTTTAAATCCTGAAATTATTCTTCTTTTTGTATCCGAGAAGCTTATCGAACGATGTCTACGTCATGTATAATTATTACTCTTTTAAGTGCTTCATGGTCTTTCTGAGTCAAAATGATCCGGACATGGTTTTTCACACTAAGTTATAAAACCTTCCTGCCTTCGGAAGGCGCTTACCTGCTTATCTACTAGAGTGAAAGTTTGAAGAGTTTCAATTATCGATAGAGATGCTTAGCTTTTTAATCGGACTGTATTAGTATGCGTCTAGCAGCATGGTGGAAGGATTACATAATGTGCTCAATTTGCAAGCATTTCTCTTTAATTCTCTGCCCTCTCTCTTACATAGTAATCATTCGCAGTTTAGCCAACCTTAGTTGTTGTCTTCATTGCACACATCATTTAGGTTCGTTCTCTTTTTATCATGTACTACTTAGTAATACTAACGTTTGTTTGTGTTGCATGCTCGTACCTTAGTTTCTATTCATTTTAATATATTTGTTGGAGTGAGTAGGAGGCTATGATAAGAATTGAAAAACATTTCAGAAATATATACTCAAAATATTTTTTTATAGAATGTTTCATATACAAGATGCGCCTGCTAGGCTATCCCCGCTCTTCGCGATCTGTGCGCCATGCGATCGGTGAGCCATACCTTCGGCAATATTAAGTCATGCGGTTATCTTTAAACGTTAATATCTCGTTAACTATTCCGAGTATTGTAAAATGGTAGAAGACTTTTCGACTTAATTTAGTGTTCTGCTATACTTGCTCAGGAGAGGTGGGATTAAAATTTGGAGCCACCCTGTATATATGAATTCTGAAATATTGTACGTAAGATTCGTAAAAAAATTTGAAATATTTTCTGAACAATTATAAAATGATACAGAAATTATAAAAATTTAGAATTTTTTAAATATGTAAATTATAAAATATTGTATAATAAGATTTGTATAATTTCTATAATTGTATATACATATAAACATATTTTATATATAATCATATTGTAATTATATTGTCAACATATATACAATTATACATAA